AGGCCAATACAGCCAGTTTCTGGCCTCTTGACCGATCAAGGGTAATGCATGGTCTACTAGATATGGAGAGGGGCGAAATTTACATTAGTATTAGCAAATACGAGTATTTGAAGTTCAGGAATTTATTGAGTGGAGTGTAGTGATAAAGTATTTCAATGACCTGATATAGAAACAAGCAAAATGTATGACTTTTTGATAGGCGTAGGAGTTAGTGTATAATCACTCATATTGTATCACGCGTGTATAACAAGACTCCTTTACTAGATATATTTTAAATATTTTAAATAATTACAAAACGCAACGAAGTGGGCTTTAATACCGCTAACTGCAGAGCAATTCCTGTTTAGAATAACTCTGTGTAGGATACTTCTTCACGACTCTTTTCTTCCGTTTAGAATCCGTCAGTTTTTTTAAAACTAGGTTTATGCAGTAAAATGTATTTAAATCTCTTTTATTACATTTAAAAACGGAATATTTGGAAGTTAACAACCTATCAAATACACTTGAAAGATGTATCAAAGGTGGTTGATTTCGACCAGTAACACCGGTCTCCGATTTGGCATCAGTTGAGATACCTACTAACACATCTGGAAGCATCAAACCTAAAACCATCTCAAATTATATAGTAAGCCATACGGTAAAAACTATGTCAATAAAATTTCTGATATATTACTAGAACTGATAGTAAGTCAGCTGATGGTAACAACACAGCTGATAGAACGCTGACGATTGTCACACAGCTGATCGGTGTCAGTCCCCATCATTTACCAATCCATCATTTACCGTTCCACAGAGACCAGAGACGGTAGAATGTATTCCTTGAGGGGATCAACTGCAAATGCATACATCCTCCAAACATTCTATGAGTGAGTAGTTTATTTTTTTCAATTTTCAGTTTTCTTTCAGAATTATTAAGCATGTTATATTAACATGCTGAGGTTGTTTTCAAATTCATTGAAACAGATTAATCAGATAATTAATTAATTAATTTAAAATTGTCATCATAATGGCTTATATATAAAGATAATTATTTCATTATATTTATTGTATATTTATCCATCTATTATATATATTTACAGTCTTTTTAAACAATATAAGTGTAAATGTATGTTTCAAGTGTTATTAGACGTGTTTTTATTTCCTCTCTGTATATTTGTTGTCTGGTACTAATATTTAGGTTAAGTTGTCATTGTAGGTTTACTATTATTATACTGCCTTAAAAACTCATTTAATCATACTCCCATATTTAAAACTATACATAAATAAAAATAACGACACGGATTGTATAATTTACCCTGAAATAAGATAAGCAAATATTATTTGGTAGATTTTTGCGAATATTCTTAATCACGATTAGTAAATTTATGTAGGTCTGACGATGTTTCGGGATCTGGAATACCAAACATGAACTTCAATCATTGAAAAAAAAAAACATTTAAGACCCGCACTCTTAAAAGTAATCTGATTTTAAATACATCTAAAAATACTTAGAATGTATAATTGAAGGTTGGAAAAATTAAACCTTAAAACCTTCATATATTCTTACAGGTTTATGTAAACTCGGTATAATAAATCTAATGTAACACATAAAATAGCAACACAACTGCCTACAGTAACCATGGGAATCGGGAATCACTATGTTATAAGTGGAGCAAAATGTAATCAAGGTCAAGACAAGACGATCAGACACTGACATAGTATCTATGTTAGTATTATGTAAAATTACATGCTAAATGTTTACTTGAAAGGAATTTATGTAATGTGATTGATGGATGCTCTACATGTCAATGCTACAAAGCCAGGCTTAGCGAGCATGCTCGTCAAACAACTGTGTTTACCTTCAAATTAAAATCATATTACCTTGCTGTAGAATTTTAATATTATTACACCTTGAGGGTGATAGAGAGTTATATGTAAAAATGTGGTATAATTGTAGGTAGCTCACTTAACTATGCAAACTTTACAGGGTAGGTCTTTGTAAATTGTAAATTTCTCTATTCGTGTTTCATGTTTGTGTTATTTGGAGTTTGCCGATGTCAACATGTTTCTCTTATTTTAAGGTGAAAATTACAAATGTGATTTGCTGTAGGGCTATAATGATATAGGACAAGCTATTGCTTGAAATTTGAAGTTTTATTTGGCGACTTGAATAAGTTAAATAGGGAATGAAACATTTAACACAAAACATGCTCTATATGGATCAGATGGAACACACGTTAAAATTATTAAAATATTTTTATTTAGCCTCCAAATCTATATAATTAATACGCTACATGAAACTTTGTCGGTTGAACTCCTCCGCCATTTCTTAACCGATTTTATCCATTGACGTCTCATTGGAAAGAGCGTGTCGCATAGATTTGCAAACTGGTCTTACATTTTTGAAAAAGTCCCTTGGGCTCTGCCCCAGTGGCTTTGAAAGTTCCCATGTTATCCTTATGGAGAACTTAATTGTTTACATTTTGATCAGCTGTATAATTTAATTGCTGTTATTTATTTTCAATTCAAAACGCATTGAGTACATTTATTTACTATTTGAGTTTGTATAAACATAACCCCCAAGATTGATGGTGTTAGTATGGTTGTATCTTAAATTTGTGTATTTAGTTATCGTTGTATTGTGTCGCTATGACGGATCGTGTTAGCATGATTGTAACTTAAATTTGTGTATTTATCGTTGTTTTATGTAGCTATAATTTTTTTATTTGTTATTTTTTTTTTCTTTAAAATGCCTCCGACGCGACGACAACGAAACATAGACAGGACGCGTAATCGTGATAACGACCGCAGCTACAGAACAGTGGCGAGTAATAGACTTAACTCATCGCAGTCAACACATGACCCTGGACAATCTCAACTATTAGGTTACAAATGCGCCCTAACACTACCCCAAAACGACTTTTACTTACTTGATACTTACTTGATACTTGATGATGTCCCACTAGCATCGCTCCTGCGACGTGGTCGTCAAAATGGGTAGAAAACACAATAATAGGCCTAATTGAAAAGATCTTCTACTTAAAAATAGGCTGCTTCACATAAATATTCCTTTAACATCTTCTTGAATTTATTGATATTTTGCTCTCGAAAAATGTTCCTTGGTAGCGAGTTGTAGATCTTGACACTACTAAAATATGGGCTCTTGCAGGCCAAAGTTGAGTTAACTTGAGGTATATGTACTTGATTAGCTCTTCTCGTGTTGTACTGATGGACCAGATTGTTTGTGAAATTCGTTCTCAATTGGCCCTCTGTCAATAACCTGTGTTCCTGGACAGCAAGGCATTTTGATAAGGAGAAACCCGGCCGGAATGCTTTAGGTTTATCAATAACGAAGATAAACGTGGTCTGAGATACACACCAGTAATCTTTGAGATGACTCTCAAGAATCAAGAATTTGTATTCATCGTTAACGCTATGTACAATACATGCAATGGATGAACTCTTTTAAACTAATCGTAAATATGACTGTTATTGTAATACTTTGCAATTGCTCGAATTCGAGCAACATGTACACTAGTAAACACAAATGTAAGATGCAAACTATAACACATGATTTATCGTTTTTATAGTGATTGTTTACTTTTGTAATAGTAGTTTACGCAACGATTGCGTTAAGTGAGTCTTTACGACACGAGTAGAAAATTTAAGGCACGAGCCTTGGCGAGTGCCTTAAAAACTTCTACGAGTGTCGTAAAGACTATTAACGCGAGTTGCGTACACTACTTTACCTACGACCGTTTTTTAATTACTATCAATCTGGATTTAATTACTAACAATCACTAATGATAACTTTTTAGAGAGGTTATGTTTTCGTGTATTGTCATTGCCACTGAAAGAGATGCAACGACTTGTTGTATAATCAGCTGATTTCCTGTAATTACGTGTTTGTTAAACTTCGTTAAATATTACATTGCTAGCAGCATTCTTACCATAAATAATATTGTATCAGGTACAATTTGGCAAATATTTCATTTATTTTTGGACTTCCACCAACTTAATTAGAATACGCGAGTATCAACATGAACAAGTCGGATCAACAATTAAATTGGTCAACTGATCAGCTGATCAGCTGATTAGTTGACGTTCGAAGCATTACAATTTTAATTCTTTTCTCTCAATACTTGAACCTCATTGGTCCGTTACCTGTGTGGATATGAGAAAACTATGCGGATATGAAATGAAACTATGCGGATATGAAAGTAAACAGCTGTAAAGTGAAACTTTTCAATTCTAAGAACTGGACTGAAATGGCTACTTTAAAAAACGGTCGTAGGTAAAATTATGTTTTGTTATGTTAGTGAAAATATAAAGAGTTTAACTTTGTAAAAAGCAGTTTTTGCTTTTAATTGAGTAGTTTATAAATGACAGTTGACTTTAGCGAATCCAAAACGATAAGGGATACATAATAAGGGATGTATAATCTATGGTGTTTGTCATTACATTACGACTGTAGGTCTTCTCACTTTTATACCTTTCTATTTAGAATCGCTGTAGTTAATATAAAGCAATCGATCGCAATAAGTGGGCAGCTTCGTTCAGCCCCATTACATCTCAATTACAGGAACCGCTGCTCGAGCTTGAGTGGCAGGCAAATTTCAGACACATTAATCTTGGTTTCTTTCTATTTCCTGGAAAAGGATATGGACACTAATATCTTGTGTTACAACTACACGTATCGTATATTACGTCCACTAACCTCATTTGCTAGACTGCTTGTCTCCGACGACGGGCTGTGACGTCAGCTGTTGTCGTCATCGGTGGTCAGTGTAGCCAATTCATAAACTTAAATTCCTCTTGCTACTTTATTTTAATAATATACTACACTCGCCCCAACTTAAAATCAAGCTCTTCCTTTAATAGGCCTAAATAATAGTCCTAGGCCTAATACCAAAAATCATTAACCAATTTCAAAGTCCATAGTTCATTGCATTTAACTTAAAACTTTCTTCAAATAACTCAAAATAAAAATTACTTCGTCCGTTACACAGTCGACTGTTTACTTAAAGATCAAGCCTCCTCGGCTTACGAACGGCCCGTTGAGACCGTCTAAGAAGTTGCGGGCTTGACTGCACTTCATGTCTTTCTTCAAGTCTTGGTAGAGGGCTAGATGCTTCTGGCAGGCTTCGCCTCTGATGTGAGGGCGTTATCGCCGCTGGCTGAGGGCTAGGTATCTTCACTGGTGAAATAGGCCTAACCGGAGGTGATGCCTTGACTGGTGATGGCTGTGGAATTCGCCTATCCACCAAAGTCTCCTCTTCGTCTCCCAGAAGACTGGAACGCAGATGGTCCGCATGACAGAACCGGACCTTGCCTAACACACTTACAACATAAGTCGCAGGGCTTCTTTGCTCCATCACTTTTCCCGGAACCCAGGACACATGCTCCCCTCTGACCGTCTTCACACACACCTTATCTCCTTTGCCAAAATGTCTAGCACCACCTCGGATGCTGTTTGCAGCTGAACGTTGCTGTTCCTTCTTTTTATCAATCACTGACAACAAATTAGGCTTAAGTAGGGTTAATTTTGTTCTGGGTTTCCATTGGAGAAACAACTCGGCTGGTGAGAGTCCAGTTACTGTGCTGGGTGTGTTCCGGTACACAAACAGGAAGTTGTCTAATTTATGCTGTAAGGTAACACCTTCCAATTGACTTTCTATCACTTGCCTCTGCAGATTTTTCTTTACCTCTTGCACACATCTTTCGGCTGCGCCATTGGACGCAGGGTGATAGGGGGGTGACAAGGTGAATTTTATACCATTCCTACTCAGAAACTCCCTGAACTCGGCACTCGTAAAATTAGGTGCATTGTCACTTACCAGTTCTTCCGGCAACCCATAAGCAGCAAACAAGGTTCGTAATCTTTCAATGGTTTTGAATGATGTAGTTGATTTCATAAGAAATACTTCAAGCCATTTTGAAAAACTGTCAACTACAACTAACAGCTGTTGTCTAGTTTGCGGATCTTCCGCATAGTCAATATGAATTCTCTGCCACCTGTTGGTAGTTCTAGGCCATTGATACAATGGCACCTTAACGGCAGCATTTCTAGTGCACTGACAAACAGTGCAGGTAGACACTGTTTCCTCTAAATTTTTCTCAAGACCAGGCCACCAGACGTAGCTCCTGGCTAACATTTTCATACGCGATATTCCTGGATGCTGGTCATGTAGTAATCGGATTACAGCACTCCGAAGCTTTTCGGGCACGACTACTCGTGCTCCCCAAACGACACAATTGTTGTCAACCGACAGTTCATCCTTCCTTCTGAAATATGCAATTAACTCAGGTTCATCGGCTGAACGCCAACCGTGCCAAATAAAGTCCCTTACTTTTGATAACACAGGATCCCTATCAGTCAATCTAGCAATATCTTTAGCCGTAATAGGTGTGTCGTCACTCACCAATTTGTAGCAGCTAAATACTTCCACCACATTTTCCACGTGAGAGAGGTGATTGGCCTCCAATTCCATGGTCTCATCATTGGGCAGCGGCAATCTTGAAAGGGCATCAGCATGAGGGAGATCCACCCCTCGCCTGTACTTCACCTCGAAGTTATAGGCTGACAAAATCAACGCCCAGCGTTGAAGACGAGCCGCAGCTACACACGGCACTCCTCGCTTACTTCCAAAAATGGCAACCAAAGGCGCATGATCTGTCTGCAACACAACATTTGAACGACCATAAATGTACTTATGGAACTTTTTGACTCCAAACACAAGCGCCAACGCTTCTTTGTGAAGTTGAGAGTAATTCTTTTCACTTGCACTCAAAGATTTTGAGGCAAACGCAATTGGTTTTTCCACACCGTCAATGAGATGAGAAAGTACTGCTCCAACACCCCGTGGGCTCGCATCACATGTCAAAATCAAAGGTTTATGCACGTCATAGTGAACCAATACATCAGTAGACAACACCCATTGTTTACTCTGCTGAAAAACCTCTGAACACCTTTTAGACCATACCCAAGGTTCGTCCTTTCTAAGTAGGTCATAGAAACAGCTTATTTTATCTGACAGGTTACAAATGAATTTACCATAATAGTTGATTAGGCCTACATAGGCCTTGAGCTCTTCCTTACACGTTGGTTCTGGAGCGTCACGGATCGCTTCCAAAATACTTTCCTGGGGACTAATTCCCTCTGAAGTCAAACAGTATCCCAGATATTGAACAGAAGGCTGTAAAAATTTACATTTGCTTTGGTTTACCTTAACTCCATAGCTTTGAAGTCGCTGCAGAACATGTTCCAATCTTGTTAGAGCCTCCTCTCGGGATGATCCACCAACCAACAAATCATCCAGGTACGCCACTGTACCTGGGAGTCCTCCAATTATCTTGTCCATCGCCGCCTGGAAGAGGGCCGGGGCTGACGACAAGCCATATGGTAAGCGACGTAGCCGCACGAGACCTTTATGTGTCGCCAATGTCAAAAGTTCCTGAGACTCCTCTGCAACAGCAAGCTGGAGGTACGCCGCCTCCAAATCCAACACAGAAAAACATTTACAGCCTGCTAACGAGGCAAATATATCTTCGGGCTGCGGCAACGGATAATGTTCTGACTGTATAACCTGGTTCAGAGTAACTTTAAAGTCCCCGCACAAGCGGACGCCTTGTTTCTTTTGTATAACTACTATTGGGGTAGCCCACTGTGAGCTTGTAACAGGGTAGGCAATACCTTCGGATATCATCCGATCAATCTCTTGTTCAACAGAAGTACGCAATGCATACGGAACAGGTCTATATTTACAAAACTTAGGGATATAGTTTTCTTTTAAGACTATCCTAGCCTCAACATCTTTGATCTCCCCCGGACCACCTCTAAATACAGAGACATATTTTTGTTTTAATGCCTTAACCTCATTAGGTTCTATAGAAACCTTTCCGGTTAGGTTAGGTGAAACCCCATCTTTGGCTGCCTCATTAGGCTTGGGTTCATGACTACCAGTAGCGGTTGCGCTAGCAAAATTACATGAGAAAATTGATTTCCAATCTAAATCAATGTGCTTAATCCAGTTCCTTCCTAAGAGTATTGGTTGGTTAGTACGATTTATTTTAACCACAATCATAGGCAAACAATAAGAATGGTCCTTGTAGTCAACATTGACTTGAGCTTGCCCAGTTACTATGACTTCGTTGCCAGAATAGGTTAACAACTTAATATCTACAGATCTCAATGGAACGTGAGAAAAATATTTCTTAAATATTTCCTGAGGACACACTGACAGTGCCGAACCAGTGTCAATTTCCATAACTACAGGCACATTCTCTATAGCTAGCCTTACCTTGTAATCAGAGTTACTTGAGCATGAACCAATATTATATAGAGACAAATTTTCCACTTCCTCATTTATATCTAGGCTAGGCTTCCCTTTATCTTCCAGTTGATGCACCTTATACCTTCCTTTTAGGCTTTTTGCGGCAGTTTCGCCTTTAGATTTGCACGCCTTGCTAAGATGGCCTACTCTTCTACACAAATTACACCTATAATTACTATAAGGACACATATGAGCCTTATGATCCCAACTTGTGCAACGATAACACTTTATCTTGTTATCATTATTTTTCTCTTCAAAAGATTTTAACTTGTACCCAGCAGGATTCCCACTTTTCACAGGACCACGTGCACACTTTTTCACACTAAATTTGGAAATATCTTGCACAGGATGATTCCCGAATAAGCCTGTTTGCCTTTCAGCCTGTTCTAGCATGAGCGCTTGAGCAAAAGTTTTGCTCAAATCTAATTCTTCGGAAAGCAACTTTTGCCTTATTCCATCATTACTAATGCCTGATATTAGTTTGTCCCTCAAAGCATCATTTAAGAATGTACCGAAATTACAAGTACTGACTAAATGTTTGATAGCGACCATAAATTCCGCTATTGACTCTGCCGGTTTTTGACAACGACTATAAAACGTATATCGTTCCGCAACAACGAGCCTTTTAGGAGCAAAATGTTCTTCCAATGTTTTACTTAGGCTTTCTAGTGCAGTAAAAATAAGAGAAAAATTCCATAAACCTAAAAAAAATTAGCACAACCGGGGAATTTGGTACAGATGTTGGGTGTACCTTCCTTTTGAACATACTAAAAGTCCCCTAAAATTGAAGCTGTGCTACGGCCGCCATATTGGAAAATGGCGGCATATTTCTGTATTTTTCGCTATAGTGACTTTATTATTAGAGATACAGGAAAAAGCTAAATATACAAAATGTAGGTCATCTAAAAATACACATTTTTTGTATTTACCATCTTTCTCTAAACCCAACGGTTTTTGAGTTATTTGTTATTAAGTATAGATAGTTTTTTCTATTTATCAAAAATAGGTGAAACACATGGAAATTGTCCGTTCCTTTCAAGGATTATGATAATTTATCCAATTTAGTTAAATAGTGTGATACTATAAAATCTTAAAATGTAGGCTTATTTTATGAGTAAAACAACTCTGCCACAGCAAACCTGAAGACTCAGCAAATTTCCTTTTGATTGGATGTTTTATTAATTGTATTTAAATAAAATCAGATTCAACAGGTACCTAGGTTTGCTGCTACAGGTAGGTTATTATAGTGTGTTTTTTTTTTAGTAAAATATCAATAACTTAGTATAAAATAATTAATTTTCCAAGTTTGATCATAATAAATCTATAAACAAACAAACTGCAACAGTTAACTAATTCATAATAATAGCATGGTAGCTTAAGATTTACAATTTACAAATTTAAATATAAAAATTTTGGTTGTGTTTACTAAAAATATGGCTATTATTCGTCACGATTCGAATACTAACCGAAGGGGTTTTCAAAAGGAGATGAAGCAAGTAATTTAAGTACTGTAATATTAACTCGTACCAAATATCGGAAATATTGTATGGAGTGAGGAAATCAACCATATTTTGTAAACTACGTAATAGTCATATTAATATTTTATACTCATTTGTACCCATTTAATAAATTAACATTTTAATATTTTGATGGCACTACCACTATCACTCTGATATCAACTAAGTGGGATGAATAATTGTCGTAAACCTTGAAAGTAACCGTCGATTGCGATGGGTTTCACTGATTTTTGATAAATAAAACTAACTATACCATGCTTAATTAGTCACCAACATGAACTAGACACGAAAAACACCCTTCCAAATTTACAATGGGATGTCAAGTATAGTTAGTTAGTGTGGTGGTGCCATCAAAATACTAAAATGTTAACTATTAAATGGATAAAAAATAAGATAAAATATTAATATGACTATTGCGTACTTTACAAAATATGGTAGATTACCTTACTGCATACAATATTTTCGGTGCTTGGTACGAATTAATATTACTTAAATAACAGGCTCCATCTCCTTTTGAAAACCCATTTGGTTAATATTCTAATCGTGACGAATAATCGCCGTCTTTTTAGTAAACACAACCAAAATTTGTATATTTAAATTTGTTTATTGTAAATTTAAAACTCCCATGCTATTCTTATGAATTAGTTAACTGTTGCAGTTTGCTTGTTTATAGATATATTTTGATAAAACTTGGAAAATTACTTATTTTATAGTAAGGTATTGATATATAAAAAAAAGAAAAAAAACACTATAATAACCTTCTTGTAGCAGCAAACCTAGGTACCTGTTGAACCTAATTTTATTTATATACATTTTTTAATAAAACTTCCAATCAAATGGAAATTTGCTGAGTCTGCAGGTTTGCTGTGGCGGAGTTGTTTTACTCATAAAATAAGCTTAAATTTTTAGATTTTATAGTATCACACTATTTAACTAAATAGGATAAATTATCATAATCCTTGAAAGTAACGGTAAATTTTCATGTGTTTCGCCTATTTTTGATAAATAGAAAAAACTAAATATACTTAATAACAAATAACTCAAAAACCGTTGGGTTTAGAGAAAGATGATAAATACAAAAAATGTGTATTTTTAGATGACCTACATTTTGTATATTTAGCTTTTTCCTGTATCTCTAATAATAAAGTCACTATAGCGAAAAATACAGAAATATGCCGCCATTTTCCAATATGGTGGCCGTAGCACAGCTTCAATTTTAGGGGACTTTTAGTATGTTCAAAAGGAAGGTACACCCAACATCTGTACCAAATTCCCCGGTTGTGCTAATTTTTTTTGGGTCAAAACATATTTTTACTGTACTATTCGTATGTTTCATCGTCAATCTTCTTAGGGGATATTAAGTCCATTAACACCGCCAAAATCTTAGGCCCAATCACTGGACATCGTTGGCCTTGAAGTAATGCTTGAGTCGTAATAAATACGAACTGATGTCCTCTTCGTGGGGATTAAATTCCGAGACTCTACCGATACTCGACATTTCGCACTTTTGCGGTTTTAAAGAACGCACTTTACAAAACTTTCACTAGTTTTACTGCGACAAAACCAATATTTAATCCGGCGACTGCGCCATTATTACAACTACACGTATCGTATATTACGTCCACTAACCTGTTACTCATTTGCTAGACTGCTTGTCTCCGACGACGGGCTGTGACGTCAGTTGTTGTCGTCATCGGTGGTCAGTGTAGCCAATTCATAAACTTAAATTCCTCTTGCTACTTTACTTTAATAATATACTACATCTTGCATGTTCAATATGCTTGGATATAAGGATATGAACACTAATATCTTGCATGTTCAATATGCTTTGATATAAGGATATGGACACTTATATCTTGCATGTTCAATATGCTTGGATATAAGCATGTTAGGTAACTCTGTTGATTTTCATCGAGTCCGAAACAAATAAAAGTTAATGTTGTAGTTTTCATGTGAACAATTCCAAGTGAATTGGGCAATAATGTTTTGGAATAATACGATAGACAAGAGTCTATAAATGTTTTGTAAGGCTTTGGAATGTCATCACAACATGCAAATAGATACATGTAACGGGTTGACTGAAGTAGTATTATAAACTAGAGTATAAATGACTGATTTGGTAACTCCAGTAGTTGAAATTTAAGCGAGAAATTAAGGTTTTGAATTTAGTAAATACAGAGTGAAGAATTCAGTTGATTAAGGAGAAATGCCAATTTAAATTTGTTCGCACATAGGTAGCCACATTGGTCAGTAGGACAGCCAATTTAGTATTTGTTAGTCATAATAATCTTAGGATAAAGAAATATACTTAAATAGAAAGTCGGTAGACGGTCCACGACAGACGGTAGTGACGAAATGGTAGCGGTAGCGGTAGCAGGTTGCCGGTTGGCGGTAGTCTAGTCGGTGTCGTTCGTTATTCGTAATCGGTAGACGGTTGACGTTAGTCTGCATTCCACATATGGACAGCGTTATCGCCGTTACATGCAGGTTGCTGCCGTATGAGTCGCTGCAATTGCACCAATTACTGAATAGTTCATATTCAGTTCATCATCGCATTCCTTAGTAGAGATCTCGAATCGTTAGATTTGCTATGTGTACACAGCCTCCGTGTTAACCTATAGTATAGATCACCCATACTTGTCTAAATAATCAAATTGTATCTATCAATAACATTTTAGCTTTCCCATGTTCATTAGGACCCATGTTCATCCCCATGTACATGTACTAGTGTAAAAGATTAAGATCCCCATTTAGGTTCCAAAAAATAAACTTTATGTTTGTAAAAAGTTATAAATACACCGTTAGCTTGGTAGTGAAAATGCTACAAAATGTACACCTCCTCCATTCGTTCAGAAGTTATTCATGCCAGGAAACTTTCATACAAAATGTTGATAAATCTTACCTTGTGTAATTCTTTAACAGTTTTGTTCTAGTATATAGTAGTTAAATTAGTTTCCTTTTATTGTTTTAAAAGGGTTAATCATATTTAATATGAGGTAATCGGGTCGTGCAAGTATATTACGTCAGTTTAAGATTTTGTTAAACCATGATTCATTGCCTTACGCTAAACTTATATTTCATTTTCAAAATGAATGTGCTATGTTTAACATCCAAACTCTTTTTCAGGGTAAGTCATCAGAAACCAGGCAAGATATTTACTACAACCATTCGGGGGAGATGTAAGTTTGAAATTGCTTTAAAATAATCTTACTTACCTTTATATATTTGATTTTAATCTATAATGCCAGACCTAGGAAAGCTTATCACCTTTACGATTTCTATTACTATGTTATGCCATTTTAGTGCATACCACATTACACCCAGCTAACTGACATATTTACTAGTATACCTAAGTACCTAACATACCTTCACATCTGCCAACCAACGCCTAGCTGTCCAAAGACACGGTCACCTATCTTGTCTGCTGTTCGTTCGCAGGTGTTTATTTGTGTCTGGGCCCAGACTGAAGTGATTAGCTCCGCACTTACCTTCCGCTCAGACCATCATACTCCATACTCTATACTCCACCTTGGTCTGACCTTGGCTGGAATCTGTGCAATTACAGCCGTGCTCTCGAAACAATTGACGTTGTCCAGGAGCACGGGAACACAGAATGAGAGATTGTCTATAAAAAAATCCAAAGTTGTGCTGGACTGTTCTAAGCACACAAAGTTCGAGATATAGGTGAAAAGTCAAGCTGAATCCATCAATAAACGTGTTAGGCAAATTAATGTTATTTTTAAACTGAGAGATGGTAAGTGTCAGCAACCTAAGTGTCATGGATTGTTTGACGTTTGGTGCTGTATTCGCGTTGACTTATGTCGTCAAAAGATTTCTGTATGGATTTTCCATCAATGTATAGCATCCCAATTACAAACTGTGAATCAGGAAATGAAAACTATAATTGTATTACTAGTTTTTACCTTGCACCGTCGCGAAAAGGTTGTATGGTTGTATGGACTTCGTAGATTTCAACCACTGATAATACTGTTTCAAATATACTAGATGTCCATTGGTTAAAAACTTGACCAAAAATATGTTATGTACACTTTTTATTTTCACCCCACGGTGTAAATAAAACATGTGATTGGAATTTCTTCTTATTGATTTTCTGTTTACATTTCGTTGTTATCTCGTCACCAGCATGGCAACCTATAAGACCTATGTAGATTTTTAAAATTTTAAATTTATTTCTGTGCTTATTTTTTAGCCTACTTTCATTTTAATGGGATTCTGCACTTCTACAGGAAAATATCTTTCTAACAGTATGCGTTGATTTACCCTGCAATGCATACTGTTAGAAAAAGGTCGCGAGTTGAATAAAAAGGTTTTCAAGAAACATGCTTGCCTATTAATATTTAGGAATACTGTTAGAAAAAGGTCGCGAGTTGAATAAAAAGGTTTTCAAGAAACATGCTTGCCTATTAATATTTAGGATGATTCCAGCGTCAATTATATGAAATAAGTTAGTTTGTTTCCCAACAATCCAGTAAATAAGTAAAAAAAAAAGAATGACCAATGAGTTGCAATAATGTCTACGTATGTTAATTTAGTCCAATCTTAAATTTCGTCATACACATCGGAAACCTAGTAGCCGACTAGGCCTATTCCATCCTTTGACTACCGAAATTCCACTCGCATTCCCCGGGAGTCAGACCAGAACGGCGATTTTCGAAATAAGAGGGAAGTCTTCGGCACCGGAGTCGTATCGGGATTCCAGAGTTATCTGGAATTGGTCTAATTGAAACCATAAACTAGAGATTCCCAGATACATTCCTGGACGAAGTGGCGACATGCGGACGACGAGGATGATCGGTGACTGGGTAGAAATATGTTGGATCAAATCCGGTTGTCTGGTAAATGTCAGAAGAAACACCATGGGTTGTCCGGAAAATACCAGGAAAACATCACAAGTTGTCAGAGAGATGACTGGAAATCTTCACTGGTTGTCTAGGAGATGACATGAAACATCATAGGTTCGCCGGGAGTATCAGGGAAATATGACTAGTTGTCAGAATGATGACATGAAATGATGCATGAACCATCTTAGGTTTGCCGGGAGTATCAGGGAAATATGACCAGTTGTCAGAATGATGACATGAAATGATGCATGAACCATCTTAGGTTTGCCGGGAGTATCAGGGAAATATGACCAGTTGTCAGAATGATGACATGAAATGATGCATGAACCATCTTAGGTTTGCCGGGAGTATCAGGGAAATATGACCAGTTGTCAGAATGATGACATGAAATGATGCATGAACCATCTTAGGTTTGCCGGGAGTATCAGGGAAATATGACCAGTTGTCAGAATGATGACATGAAATGATGCATGAAACATCTTAGGTTGTCCGGGAGTATTAGGGAAATATGACTAGTTGTCAGAATGATGATATGAAATGATGCATGAAACATCTTAGGTTCGGCGGGAGTATCAGGGAAATATGACCAGTTGTCAGAATGATGACATGAAATGATGCATGAAACATCTTAGGTTTGCCGGGAGTATCAGGGAAATATGACCAGTTGTCAGAATGATGACATGAAATGATGCATGAAACATCATAGGTAGGCCGGGAAATATCAGGAACATCGAGTACATGGCTACACGTTGTAGAAAAAAATGGCACGAGACTGTTCAGGTTGCCTTGGATATGACATGGAAATATACACACCAGTTTTAGGTGAAATGACATGGAATCAGGAGATTCTGCTTTAAAGTAAATAGCAACTAGTAGGATAATGCCATTTTTTATTTTGATGGTAAATAAATGCAATCATTTTCAAAATTAGGTTTTTTTCAATACTGTACGAGTCGGCAAAACAAAATAATGTTACCATTCAACCCTAAAATAATCAATAGGTTAATTTAAAGTATAGAGATGAGTATAATTTTATAAGATGTATTAACAAATTAATGAAGCTTATTAATGACATAAATGAAAGTTAACTAAGCTTTTCAATCGCGTTGATTAATTTATCTGGCAAATTTATCAGCCCATTACAGGATATATTCAGTACATTTAGAACAAACTGAATTTAAGGAAAGTTTGCAATTTTTTGAATCTGATGAACTAATAAAAAAACTACACATACCTAAGTGACTTACTACATTAGCTATACTTATTGATTTTAAGTCTCTTTTAGAGCCATGTGCTCATTTCATGTCAAGTAATTTTGTAAATATCTTCCTAAACAAATTGAAAACAATTATACCTGTATTTTATAAACATAATTGAATGTGCCCAGCGTAAATTAACATAAACAACGTTAAACGATTAGTCGCGCCGAAGGGTACGACAAACCAGGTAATTAATACAATCAAAACATTCACACAATTTGCAAACAATGTTTTGTAGATTGTCGTTGTATGTACGTGGTAAACACAGCTATCAGCAAGACGAATGGCGTCGGAAGAGGTGGTAATTTATCGGTACAAGGTGGAGGAAGGTGGTAATGGTAATGGTAATGCAATGATGTAGAGACTGATGCAACTTTTATGCTAATCCACCTCGTACAACAGGTCTGTACTATCGGGCAAGGTTAATTGTTGGTTAGGCTTCAACGAAGGTTTACAATGTTGCTGGGTTAATAGGATTTTATGTTTACTCACATATTTTTTATTACTCTATAAATGATACTATGTGTGAAAAATACTCCAGTTAAACTTCTATGCAAGTGTTGACGTTATTTTGATTACTGTAATATGCAAAACCAGCTAGCATAAATAAAAATAGTATAATTCAAAGTATTATCATCCAATGTACTGTACTACTGTTCAAAATATCCATATTAAAATTACTAATATCTGAAATACGATTATGAGTTATAGTAAGATCTAAGCGTTTTCAAATACATTTTTCGAAACATGCTAAAGTAAGTGATACAAACTTTAAATATTGTTAAAGAGTTGATCAAATTGTACAGTTTTATTTGATACATTGGGATATCACTGTTTGCTTTGACAGATATTCTTTTAGATCGAAGCATTCCAAGTATTTTCAAACACACTGAATTTAATTTTAAACATACCAACTATGTAAATAAATAATTTTTATTCATGAAATACGAAACATGATAAATAAATACACAAAATAATTAGATCATAAAGGTTGTCTATAATAAAGTTCGACCAGGTCAAGCGTGAATTAAGGTTAGTTAACCCCGCGCCGATGACGTCGTGGGATCATGTGTCAATTATCTCGTCCAGTGATCTGTCACTAACTCTGAAGTATCTGATATTGGACAACACGAGACAATCACTTGTCACAATTAGAGTTCAATCGTGATTCCTTCGTAGGTGCAATGTGTCGAAAGTGTTAAAACAGAAATTAACTATAAAAAAAAATGTTGTATGATTTAGTTATTATTTGTTGTATCTAGCACATCCAAATGAAAAAAAGTGGTTTGCATAAGAGGATATAGTTTTTGTGTGGAGGTATGAAAGCGTTTCTCTCATTTAGGAGGCTGAGTTAGGTATTTAGGTTAGGTTAGGTTAATCAGTTCAGGCCTAATCCAACCAAGCAACTCGAACAGAGGTTTGGCCAAAGTGAAGGGTGTGTATTTGGCAAATTTTTACCCTCGTAATTCCATGAGAAAGTACTGGACATAATTATTAAAGCATGTCTACAGAGCTGAGCAAGTGATCGACAAACTTTTTAAAACTTCAGTGCCCATCACAACCAGTATGTTAGGTTGGTAGACTAACTCATTTGGCCGACCAAGTTTGCAATCCTTTCTGTTATACACCGTGCTAAAACTGTTGTATAGAGCGCGCTTCTAAATTAAAGTAATTTTTTTCTTACACTTCCCGAAAATCAGGAGAGTTCGCCTGTTGAAAATCAGCACATGCCCTGTTTTAGCTTTGAATCGTACTGATATTGTAAAAATGACAAATTTGTCAAAGTTTTCTATTGGATACTTTGACATGCTTTCAACGAATTTGGTGTTATGAAAAGCAGGCGTATATGAAAGAAGTTAATCAAAAAAGTGTATAGTTTGATCAAATATTTGCAATTAATAGTAGTGTTTTGACCTTACAAGATGACGACATTAGTTGTATTAACAACAGTGCGTTTTGAGAAATGTCTCTTTCAAGATCAAAACTTTCCCCTCAGGGTGGTAGATAACATCACTAGCATTGTGATTTTACTACGCATCTCTACAATCTCTGCGCAGGTTCACAGGACCTTGAGCTCGGCGCACGCGCAACAACAAGATGTACCAGTAGGTCAGCGATAAAACTGGGCGGTCACCTTCCCCCACCACTTCTGGCGCTTCTGCCTGCGTGATACGAGCAACTTGTAATACATTGAATACATGCGGCCTAGCCCTGGGAACAAATACGATGATTAAGTCGATAAAACTATTGAGATCGCTTGAAATAAGGTTTCGAGTTGTTTAGATTGGTGATGCCAACGAACACTGCTCAGTGAAATCAGTATTTTTCATTATATTTTTTCTACGTGTAATGAAGGTTTATAACACATCATTTGCTCAGATTTTTGCTTTACG